TATCCTCAAATTGGCGTGAGATATTTTAATACAACGAAAATTATTTTTTTGTTGCATTAATTATGATCGCCACTGTATATATCAATGTTAAGATTAAAAAATTAATTGAGTTTTGTTTAATGAGAAAAAGATACATTTGCTAATAGTTGCGAAAGTACAAAGAGGAATTATTTGCCGTTTCAATTTTTCGTTATGATTTCTTCTAGAATACGCACACATGTCACATGACTTTTATAAATTAACAATAAATACATGTACTGTACATGCACATGTAACCCATTATCATTTCTCTTACGTACATGTATTTGGTATAAATATGGACAACGAATTTTTATCATCAAACGATGATAACAACCTTACTCGTAATACTAATAAAAATACGAGTAATAATAACGATGAAAATTATCTCTCAAATGCTTTAAAAGAGCTTTTACAAGAATTCTCTTTGATTAAAAATCCTGGCGGGCAAGATGAACATTTACATGAATGTATTCAGGGCTGGTTCTCTAAACATAGGGAATACACAGAAATTCAAGTTATTGAGCAACTAAAACGAATCGCTCATAAAAATGATGATTATGCATGTCTACTAGGATTCTTTTATAATAGACCTTTCGGTGACCTACAAAAAGCATTTGAATGGTATCTACGAGCTGCTGAACATAATGACGCATTCGGTCAAAACCAGGTCGGATATTTCTATCAAAAAGGATTCGGCACAGAAATAAATAATGAGAAAGCTTTCTATTGGTTCCAGAAATCCTCGGATGGCGGATGTAGCAACGCGAAATCTAATCTCGGCTACTGTTATCAATGTGGAATTCATGTAAAGAGAAACTTGCGATATGCTTTCTATTGGTATTCCAAAAGTTCCGAGATGGGTGATGAATTGGGAATGTGTAATTTGGCAAATTTAGTTTTACATGGTATGGGGTCGAATGTTGATGTCCATCAGGCTTTAAAATTGTATAGAGAAGCAAAAAAATTGAAATGTGTGCATGTTGATTATAAAATTCGTTGTATTTTTGTTTACCGTTACCGTTTTCAGTTATAACAATTGCTATCTTTTTTGCTTATTTATAAATGACATTATACTGTATTTTCGTAAATAAAAATCTTGCTAACGTTAATTTCAAAAACAAAATCGTCTAGTTGGCAGCCATCAGCACAAAATAAATCTATAATATGATGGGTGAAATTCAATATAAAACATTAAGCTGGTAGAAAATTATGTTTATGCTGTCTAAAAATCATTTATTTTGCAATACGGGATGATTTCGGAGTTTGAGATTTCCTTTTATATTTTTTTTTGACTCGGGACTTTCTTTTGTTTTACATACTTAGTATGGTATTATAAAAATTATGTTACACGTAATTCGATTGGTTTTCTGACTTTTATTATTGTGCCAAGATTAGCATCTGCGCCCCTGTTCCACCAATCGACAAGTCATGTATTATTCTACTGTTGCCGTAAAAATCGCGTAATGCCGGAATTACTTGGAATTGATTACAGTTCCCGATTTTGTAAATGCAGATACAAGTACATGTACATGTACATGTACATGTATTGTCTCGTAATGCTTGAAGCAGATCCCGTACAACTTACTATAGAAAAATCTCACTTCGAAGCATCAGTAAAAATATCACTTTGAAAATCTATACGAAAACTCCCACCTTGCGATATCAACATCAGCACTGCTGTCCCTAATAATGTCAATATCAAATTATTAGTTTACGACCACCAGGAATGTGAATCATTAAACATTCGCATCATACGTTATTTCTTTAGTCATAGAAACATTTATATCAATATTCACCTTTATTATAGTTAGATATCGCCAATTAAATAATTGTCTCGAAGTATAGTTAAGCCCCCTTTTGTGAGAATTCCCAAATCATTCATAGTTTGTACTTCGGATCCTGTGAAACTGTATGTCAAGTGATGTAATCCTAAAAATGTATTTAAAGAATAGTCATCCGAATTAAGCAATGGGCGGTTTGAATAACATTAATATTTACTTGAGACTCGCCTAACTGCGCTTCGGCTCTTATTTCTTTCGTACCATAATGAAATTGATAGTCTTTATATCTTTTGTGCTTAACAAAATTGCTGGCTTTACTTCTTTTGCCTTAAAATGTTTGCGTGTTTTCTTTGATTAATGTGTTGGCCGCGTCAATAAGTCCAACTGTTTGTTTTGTGTTGGTAGTGAACAGAAACTACCCATATTCTTGTGGAATCCATGAATCTTCCTTAGTTTTGTCCCGAATACCCTTTCCAAACATCTTTTATCACGCCCTCTTTTATATCTAACAATAGTTTTCGTAAAACCTATCACAGGGGACCTTTAAACCAATTAGAGAAACCCTCTCCTTGTAAGTTATTCAGTCCACGCTCCTCCCATTATCATGTTACATTCTATTTCCTTTAGATCCAACATCTTTAGGAAGTAACATAACACTTTTTCAGCAGCATGTCTTAACAGCAATTTGTCAGCATGCCTACAGTACGTTTTCCGCACCATCGATTATGTGATTGCAACCTTTTTTTTGTTCCATCGGTTGCATAGTTTCAGAATAGTTTCAGTATATTTTCCCACAATCGGCTGACCTTTGTTCAGTACAATCGAACGCGTAACTAAACACATTTTGCAGCACCATCTAGCACATTTTTCAGCGTATTCTTCAGCACAACACTTCCTTTGTTTTAAATGTTATTTCAATATATTTTATTATTCTTTTTAATATAGCTCGCTAGTACAAGTAGTTATATAGAATAATTAACGTTTTATAGATAACGAAAATGTATATAAAGGATGGCTCTTAGAACCATCAATAAAAGAATTAAGGAATGAATTAACGAAAAACAAATAAAAAACTACATAAAGCTTTCATCCAAAAGAAGAGTTCTTCCCAAAATAATAACGTACTTGCAAAAATCCTTCGTAAATGCATCGTATCGTATTGGTTAGGTTCTTTGCAAAAAGTAACTTACATACGTTTTTCTTTATGATTGGGTTAAACTTCACGATCAATAAAATTATCGCTACCTGCTACGTTCTTTTTACCTAAATCATTCGTAACATAATACATATTAATACATATATTTTCGTAAAAGAGGTTGAGTCATTACGAAACTTGTCTTTGTAATAAAGGTTAAAACAATTAACCTAAGGCATTCTTTCTTATTTTGTGAATAGCTAATTTCCTATCATCCACTTTATTTCTATATTAATTTGATGCCTAGAAATCGATTAATTTGGTATTAGTGTAGGAGTAAACTATTATTTATTATTAGTATTTTATATTTTCAAAGGTTTTTGTAAATAGAATTGTTGCATATGACAGTCTTTAAAAACAAATACATGCACATACAAGGTATCATTTGTGATTGAAGTTACTTTATGGTGGGAAGTTGCGCCTATTTGTTTAATAATTAACTCAAAATTGTAGAATACTAAATTTCAAAAGTATAGCAACAGTTTAATATGTATGTCCTTCCGGAAGAATAGTTAATTTTTTAAGGTACATGTAATGTATGCATGCCATTTTTAATTGGGATTAAAAAGCCAATTGTAATGTTATTAGTAAATGTTATTAAATCATAAGTTCATATAAATACTGATACAATAATGATAAATATTAATATACATGGTAAATAAATATTACATATAACGCTAATGAACGTTTGATGAAGAGTATTAAATTGCGAAATAATCCATAAGACACGCAATAAAAACAATAAAAATAATCATATGTGGATTGATTTTATTTGCACCATTCATAGTTGCGATATAAATATTTTGTTGCTGTTTGGCATCGTTGTTCGTGTTTGCGTGTTCTTGTTTCTGCCCGGTAACGGATTCTTGCGTATCAAACATCGTACTATTATTCGTGAATCTTGAGTGGTCATTTGAGTGATTCTTTTTACCAGCGCTTAATGAACAGTCAATATTATTTACTTTAGCGTCTCCAACGCGTAGACTATTGAATCCGTTGCATCCAACGCTCGCAGAACTAGACTCAACATTCACCCCATGACCAACAACTTCCAAAGAGGGAAATAGCACAGTTGAGAAGTCGCCTGATATTTGTGTCTTCCCATCAATTCGATAGAGTTTATCAAAGCCGTCAACTTCAGCTAAATCTTGGTTCGATTCTATGATTAAGTCTTCACCGATATGAGATAATTCAGGAAACGACATTGTTTCAAGTAGAGAATTTGAAGACACCGTAAGAGTGTTGCCGATTTCAGATAATTTGGGTAAGGAAAGGGAGGTAATCGAGTTTTCGATATATGTTAAACTTGAAATTACTTTGTTGAGTGAGGGAAAAGATGCTAATGCGAGGTTTTTGAAGTTTCCTTGTCCCAATAAATCTAGAATTAATGCCTGGCGAAAATAATTAATTGATTTGAGTTTTATGAATTAACTCTGGAAAAAAAGTTAACCTGCATAACATAAGGATTAAGGTTAAAATTTACCTCAAATTGAAAATTTCCTCGACCATTTCCGATCATTTCCAATGATTCGGCAGATAAAAGACTCGGCAGCGCCAAGCTTCTCAAATTCTCATTTCGTAACAAAACTAAACTACTTACACGTGACACATCAATCCCCTTCACTAATTCAATCGCAGTATCCGCGATTTCGAAATTCTCAATGGTATTCAATACAGCTGGGAAAGACAACGCCTTTAATCTCAGAGTAGAATTAACATTGAACGTAGTAACAGTTTTTAATTTTGGTACATTGATTGCTGCCAGAGCTTTATTTTGCGCGAAAATTAAGTTGCTGGCTGATCTCAGGTCGGGTAATGAAAGACTACTAAGATATGGATTGTATTGTACAACGAATGTTCCTTGAAGTGTTTGTAGCTTGGGAATCGAAAGGTTTATAAATTTAGTTCCTTTTATAGATATTGTTCCCATGAATGACGTGCAGCCGTGTAATTGAGAAAGGTCTGATTGATTTTGTACATCGATAACCCCTTGGCATCCAGAAAGTTGACCTGTATCAAAGAAAATAATTCGATCAATAAATAAATGATTGCATTAAGGAAGAATAGATATTTAATTATTTGCCTTTAACATCATCAACTAATAGAAATAAAACGAAAGAAATAGAAATATGAGTGAAAACGTTAGTAAAGTTTATCATGTTTGATGTTTAATTAAACTAGAGAAATTTACTATTATATTTGTGTTTTTCTTATTGATATGTTTGGTATTTATTCGAGATATTCAAACGAGTCATTTATATATTGCAATTACTCCAGGCCATCTTTAGGCGAAGTGAAAAATTAAGTGTTAATAATATATCGATGCAATATACGATAAAATCGAAATTTAGTAAAATATTCACGTGAACATATATTTTAACGATTAATCATTTAATCGATAAATGAACCTCGAACTAAATAATAATTCGATTAATTAATTGTCTTAAAAGTTAAAGGATAATAATCGTTTTGCGAAATATATTCAAAGCAAGTTTGAGGAATATTTATGAAATTTACAACAATAGATATGCTAGTGTCTGTGATTACAATTAGACTAACGACATTTAATAGACTTGAAGACATAAGCCCGCAGTATATATATGCATAAGATATCTATAAAGGAAGAAATAGATAAAAAAAATTGTTGTTACATGTATATAATGTAAAAATATCCACGCCTAGCATGATATTTGCCTATGGAATGTTCTTTAGAATGTTAAAGAATTTGTTAAAATATGAAATTTCACCATACAGTAATTTAGTGTTGTAATGATTGATTAGTTCAGGGAAAATTTAGGATCGTGAAAATCCATAGCGTTTGATGACTTTATATGTCCTATTGTTTTGAATTAAAATTAGAATGCAACTTTATTATATTCAATTTACCAGAAATTGAGGCTGATATCTCGTTATCATAAAGTGCTGACTAGTATACCCACATGATTTATATACTGTATTGATCTTTGAATCCAATTTTTGATTTATATTCGAGTACTTTACATAGTATAATTCTTTGAATTATACCTCTATACCATGGGAAATATCCAGGTACAAATTTTATTTATCTAATATTTCTAATTATTCTCTGCTTGTCCAATCATTTTCATAATCTTCTACTTCATTATATGTCTCTTCATCAATAAAATCAACTACCAAAATTTCCTCATTATTATCTTCTACTAAACTTCATAATCAAATACCAATTCATCTTCTATTCCATCCATTTCTACTGAGACATCACAATATTCTAATACTTTTCTAATTAAGTTAGAATTAATATTATCTCATAATTTTTTAACCCATTATGCAATTGCTATATATAATAGTTTTCAAATACATTTAGCTAATATCAATTGATGAACTTTATTGGTCATCTATTCATTATAATAATCTTATATCTAATAATATTACCATAGTAACATAAATTTCTTTAATTTCATAATTTTTCAAACTATAGATTTTTGGTCAATCAGTTAATTTTTAGAAAGCATATAATTTCAAATAATTTAATTAGTATATCAATTATGAATTCAGTCATGGTTCAGCAATATTTCTGCAATACTTTAGCAATGATTCAAGATTATAATTATATAATTAATCCAAGGAGTTAATAATAGTTTACAAATAGTTTACTAATGGTTCAGAAATGCTTTAGGAACAGTTTAGAAATGAAATTTATTTATTTTTCTTATTTATCTTTTCTGTTTAGAATATTTATCTTATCTTTTCATTTTATTTCATCATTTGCATTATCTTTTAACTTATCACACATATCTTATTTCTTTATTTTACTTGTTTATTTATTAATCTTTTATTTCAAAACTTGTAATTATATAATAGAGTAGTAAATGAATTATGAATAGAATTTAGATAAAATCTGTAAAATCTCAAAAATATATAAATATCTCTGCTCTCAAATATGAAATTAATATACTTGAATAGCAATAATTCAATTGTCTTTGAAAACACTTGAGTTATACCTATCTTATAATTTTTCCTTGATCTTTATCTTGATATTCTGCTTTTAATTATCTCTTCTATTATAATAGATTATATTCTGGTTAATTACATATTTTTCTTGTCTGAAAAATATAAATAGTAAATACTCTCTACTTAAAATAAGCCAAGTATATTTTATTTGATTTATAAAGATTCTTGTAAGCTTTTCTATATATAAAGCTTTATTTTGTTTTGGTATATACTTTTTATTTGCCTAACAGTTGAAAAAATACTATTAAAGAGTTTAATTAATATACTGAATTTTTTATTTTAATTATAATATTTATTATTTTAGTTTTTAATACCTATTCTTAGTTTAGTCTTTGTGATTACAACTTTTTTTTATTTTATTTCATTTTTGTCTTGTATTATTATAATACTTATAAATATTAGTTAGCATTAGGAAATCTTTAGAATAAATATAATCCTCTTTACCTTTATAAATAATTCAGTCTTAGCTCTCAAAACTTATTATAAACTATATTTCTGGTAAAATCTATATTTATGAATATAGTTTATAATAATAAATCAAAAATTCAGTGAATATATTTTATATAATAATAATAATAAATTAATTTATCTTTTATTTGAAACTTTTATTAATAGTAATATCTAATAATTAAAGTTTATTAGTTAATTTATCTGAAATAATTGCAAAACAAATATTATTTTATTTTTATTTAACTAATTCAATTAAATAAAATTTAAAACAAGAAAAAACTTTGAATTTTTCATCTTATTATATTTGATTTGAATAGTATTAATTAATAATTTATCTTTTATTTATTATATTATTTTTTTATTAATTTGAATGATAATATCTTGAAAAAAGTTTCATGTAAAATATTTTTTAGTTTGAAGATATATAGAAAAAAGTTTTGTATTATTAGCAAGATACTCAAGAATTATAATAAAATAAGTTCTTTTATATCAGATTATTCAAATATTAACTAATATTATTCAAGTAATACTAAATAAAAAAGATTAAAAGATAGTGATATTTTATTTATATTGCTGATATATTTTATTAAAAACTTATATTAGTGATATTTAAGTAAGATAAAGCTTAAAAATTCATTTTATTTTTTGATAAGATTATAATAATTTTGATTAAATTATATTTCTTTTAGTTTAAATCTTTATTTTATACTTTTTGTATTATATTTTAGTTTATATTATAATTTTTAAAAACCAATTTCACTTTTAATATATAAATAATTATTATATATTAAATTAATCTAATTTAATATATATTATTATATAGATAATTATTTAATTATTATTTTTATATTTAATTAAATTTAATTATTCTTTTATATTTTTATTTATTATTATTTATATTATTTTATAATTATTATTAATTTATTAAATTATAATTTATTATTCTTTAATAATATAAATTAAGTTAATTAATTATATTTAACTTATATATATTTTAGATCAATAATTTATTTATATTTATTTTATTTTGTATAAATAAGTTACTTCTATTTTGTATTTTAATTTCAGATCTGAATAATATTTAAATAATAAAATTATAAGTATTTATAATAATTTTGATTGAGTTATCTTCCTTTAGATCTCTTTTAGCTTAGATCTTTATTTTACGCTATTTGTATAACAGATTAGCTTTGTATTACATTTTAAAGAAGATTATTTTCATTCTGGATATACAGATAATCATTATATATTTAATACATCTAGATTTAACACATTGTTACTCAGATGATCATTATGTGTATCATAATTATTAATTTAAACTAGAGATGGGAGCTGCAACTAGCCACAACTCTGTCACAATTCTCTGATTGGCTGCTGCAACTCTGTTGCAATTCTCTAATTGGCTGCCGCAAGCCGCAATTAGTTGAGGAGCCATCTTTAATTTAGACTATTAATATTTTTAATTACTTTTATTATTAATATTTCTTTATAATTTTATTCATTCTTCTTATTAT